GCAGGCTGTGACACCCAGACGGTGATTTCACTGGTCCCTTCTTCAACAGCCTTTTGCCTCACTGACAGAATGGTCCCACTCCTGACATGCTTAAGTGTGTCAGCATCTCTTCTGGCTCATGAAATCCCACCCTAGCCCCAACTTTAGGAACAAGGCTAAGAGCTTGTATTTACCGAACACCCACTACTGTGCGGCCAATAGCCTGCCTTACCGCCCGCAGCCCGATGAGACCCGGCTTCCCCCCAGCGTACAGGCTTGCAAGTTGAAACTCGGAGGTTTTATTAAGCAACTTCCCCAATTATCAAAACTGATGAAAGAGGGGAACGGGATTCCAACCCAAGTCTGTCTCAAAACCAAAGCTGTGCCCTCAGCCTCCTCACCTGAGTAAACCCTAGGAGCGGCAGAGAAAGAACCAGCACACATTCCCATGGTGCCTACACTCTACAAACCTCAAGTTTCTCACTTTCACTTTGAAAAGTTCCAGAAATTTTCCATTCTATAATATCTGATAGAAAAAATGTTTGGGGCGCCTGGCTGGCTCACTTGAAGAGCATGCAACTCTTGATCTGAGGGTTCAACATGCCCTATGTTAGGTGTGGTGATTACAAGGGAGGGAGGGAGGGAGGAAGGAAGGGAGGAGGGGAGGAAGGAAGGAAGAGAGGAAGGAAGGAAGGAAGCAAGAAAGGAAAGAAGGAAGGAGGAAGGAAGGAAGGAAGGAAGGAAGGAAGGAAGGAAGGAAGGAAGGAGAAAGGAAGGAAGTTAGTTAGTTTGAAACTGCCAGTGAGGTAGCTTTATCCCCCTACCTCTTCTCTGGCCAAATCTTGTGTAAAATTGATGCTCTCAAAGCATATACTGTTGTCCTGTTACTGTGCCTAGCCCCCTGGCGCACTGTGGGCCACGCTGGAGCTGCACATGGGGCCCCACCTGTTCAGCAGAGCTAGAATGTTCCCTGTGATGCCTGACTGGAGTCAGCAGCAGCCCCTAGCTAGAAGGGCTCCAAGGAGAAGACAAGGCTGTGGCTTTGATCCCTGACTTCCTGTGACTGTGGGACCAGGACAAGTCTGCTGGTTCACATTTCTCCATCAGCCGCAGAGGTAAATCCGACCCCTCATGGAGTTTGATTAGGATGCCTAAGACACGGGTGGTGAAATAAATGATTGTGACATGAGAGAGAAAAATACTTACAGAAACTGAGGTGTAGACAGGAAATTCCTTCCTCCCAAGTCCATCGGGTATCTGAACATTAGGAAGAAATAAAGATGTCCGACAAGATTTCCAATTAGCTCATTGATCACCCTGCAAACAAAGAGGCAAATTAGTTTCAAGACATTCAAGCAGTGAAGTGAGATGTGGCCGGTTTTAACTAACAGCAAGGGAAAACAGCCTTCCTGGCGGCCCATTTCTGGTCCCGGGCAGCCCGTGGTGGCTCTACAGGGAGCCCTTTCGTGGTCTGCGTGGCAAATGCATTCTGAGGGGAAGGGGAACCAGTCCTGCTGGGGTCTGTGCTCTCCAAGGGCAGCTGCCCTCCGACATCTCTTTCAAGCCCCATCTCATCCTCAAAATCTTGTTTTTGCTACTTCCTTGCCTCCAGAGGTGCAAGCTGCAAAGCTTCTGAATGCTTCAGCCATAAGTACTATATTTGCAAACCATGGGCAAATGGGAAGACCAGCGAGAGAGAAGCGTGGGGAAGGTGGGGGGAGAGTGCAGGCCTGTTCGCACATTCCTGGAGCCACAGCACTTGCCCCTCGCCTCCTGCGTCCTTGAATGTAAGACAACACAAAGATCACTTTGCGTGGCTGACCTTGTAATCCTAAAACACACACTGCCTTCGGTTTTTCCTGGCTTACGTACAGGCCCTCGAAGGTTCTATAGATCCACTCCTACTATCAAATACCCTGCGTTGTCCTCTGCGGCCACATGATTCCTGTCAGGGACAAATCAACATCTGCAGCCACTCCCGGGCTCTGCCCTTGGCAGCTTCAGCACACTCAGAACTTGCTAGGCTCTAAACAGCGTCGGTCTGCTTAATTCACTCATTTCTGTCAATATGCTGCAGACATCAGGACCACACAGAGCAGGTATGTCAGACATATTAAGAACAAGGACCCTCAAAATCTGTTAAAAATGGAAAATACTTTGTAGTATAAGTGGGAGTTCACAGAACAGTTGCATCTTGAGATCTTCCTTTTAAAATTCTGACTGGATACATCGAAGGTTTTCCTCTCAGCTCGAATTCCAGGCTGGAAATTTGACCCTATTTGGCTATAATTTCTGTACTATCAAACCGCTTGCAAAACTACTTCCCATCTGAGAATCTGCATTTTGATGACTGGTGAGCAGTTTTCAAGGCATTCTGGAAATGCCTCAAGAATAAAAAACATAGTAATTTCACGCATAGTTCTTAGAGGAGTCAGCCTAGACACAAAGTAGTTTCTGGTTTGCTCAATCTGGACAGTGAATCCAGAAATATTTTTCAAAAGCACACACATGGAAGTATACTGTGCCTAACGATGAGCTAACAACATAACAAGCGTTCAGTGTTAAATGTGCTTAAAATCCCGCGATGTAATCAATTACATCAAAATGAAATTACAGTGGACCCTTGAACAACACAGATTTGAACTGCGTGGGTCCACTTGTATGTGGGTTTTTTCATGTATACAGTACAGTTCTGTAAACGTATGTTCTCTTCTTATGATTTTCTGAATAACATTTTCTTTTCCCTAACTTACTTTATTGTAAGAATACAGTATATGATACGTATAATACGTTACAACTTAAAACATGCATTAATCGACCGCTTATGCTAGCAGCAAGGCTTTGGTCAACAGGAGACTAGGAACAGTCAACTTTTGGGGGAGTTAAAAAATATACACAGATTTCCAACTATGCAGGAGGTTGATACTCCTAATCCCCGTTGTTCAAGGTCAACTGTATTTCATAAGTCTGAGGTTCCAATGCATCGATGCTGAACTTCTTTAAAGTTTCAGAAAGACTAGAGAAGACAAAGAATAATGGAAGTCTTTTAAGGATTTGTTTCCAATTAAATAAATCGAGTATTTACTTACGAGCCTCCGATGATATAGTTGAATCCAAGGATCACCCAAGGTAAATAACAGGCCTAGGAAAACGTAAACACAAACATGAATAACCACCCCTAAGAAGGACGCAGGTGCCAGGGGGCTGGAACGGGTAAGCATATACTGGTAAGAGCTTTATATAAATCCTGTGGAAAGTCACCCCCAAAATTTCTCAGACCAATCCATCAGTACTGTACTTAAAACTTCCAATCTAAAATTCGTATATTAGTAACTGGAGGGACAGAGTACTGTGCCCATGGATCAGATACAATACATGCCCTGCTGAATGAATACTAACAAACAGCTTCACAAAGGAGCTGGGTGTCCTATGGACACTCATGAAAACATGACCCATAATAGAACCACATTAAGACTCCAACTAGCAAACTGTTGCCAATGAACTAAAAATATCCCACCTTTTTAGGTTCTTCTCTTACATACTTCACAAAATTACTTGGGATTTTTATCTCATTATACACGGATACCCTGAACTAATACTCTTCCAAATGAGAAAGCTCCCCAGTTGAATTCAACATCTGAGCCTCTGTCCAGATTCAACACATCACACCAAGAGCTAAGGGAGCTACAAGGAACTTCACAAACTAGTAAAGAAAGGGTTCTACATAAATAACTTGAAGGCAGAATGTGGTAAATATTCTGGAACATAAAGTACTGGAGAGCCCCAAGGCAAGACTAATTCCAGGCAGGAAACCCAGGAGTATGTTCAGTCCCAACTCAAATGAAGACCAGGTAGGATTTACAAGAGGAAGAAAATCAAAGAGATGTTACAGGTGGAAAAGTGTGAGAGAAGGAACTAACGGAAGTGTCTGGGGGGAAAAACAAATCTGTTTTAGCTGAAGTGTAAAATACATTAACAGGGAATGATAACAGACTTTAAAAGGAAATGCTCCCATGAGTATCTTTCCTTCCCTCTATCATACACACAGACACAAGACTGTTCAGGGACACATGCCTAAGGGGCCAAGAAGTAACAGTCAGCAAAGGAAGGATTCCAGGTGGGCTAAAGAAACGCAGGGCACTGACCAGGGGACTGAGCAGGGGAGGGGGGCTTGCCTATGGTATGTTGCTCTGCAGTGACCTCTTCTGGACGAGTCAGAAAGTGCACCTCTCAGATGAAGAGGGATTTCTGTGGAGACGAACGAAAAGGAAACTTTTCCAACTAGGTCAAAGTACCTTAAATCGTGTTCCAAACCAAAATGATACAATCATGTCTCTGTTCAGCTGGGCCCAGACATAAAGTACGGACATGATCAGAGGAATCATCAGCAACTGCAAAAGAAGTCAACGTGTAAACACAAGGCTCCAGAGGCACTTCAGAGGCTTACCGTGAATCTACCAGGTTGGGTTTTTTTGTTTTTGTTTTTGTTTTTTTTTTAACCTCTCCCCTCCAAACAAATTCTCACATGGCTATTCAAAAACCAAAAATAAATTCAATCATCAGAATTACAAATTGATCCTTTTAGTTAGTCCATTATACAAAGCATGCTACAAAATCCTGGAATAAAATCCAACAGAATTATTTGAGATGGATTCAGAAATATCAGGATCAAGCTCGGGTACTTGAGAAAAGGAGGCAGTAGGGACGCCTGGGTGGCTCAGTCGGTTAAGCATCGGACTTCAGCTCAGGTCATGATCTTGCAGTTGGTGAGTTCGAGCCCCCACGTCAGGCTCTGTGCTGACATTTTGGAACCTGAAGCCTCTTCAGATTCTGCGTGTGTGTGTGTGTGTGTGTGTGTGTGTGTGTGTGTGTCTGCCCCTCCCCCGCTAGTGCACTGTCCCTCTCTCAAAAATAAACATTAAAAAAAAAAAGAAGGCAGTAAAGCTTTACTTACTGTATATTCTCAACTTAAAAAGTACATATCCATATAATGCATAGAAAATACTGGAAAACCATCATTCTCAATGCACAAACATAATGAAGAACCCAGAAATGAGCAAGGAAAGTAATGGTTTAGATAATTCATGTAAGACCTTCAAAGAAGTTCTAATTCTATAACTGCAAAATGCAATTTAAGTTTCTCTCAAAGGCCATGAATAAGTAAATCTGAAACATGTAAAAGGGCAGTTTCAAGGGACACTTACCTGCATGTCCATTGCTAAGCCAGTAATCTTGGTTTATAAAGTTAAAGATCAGATACAAACAAAGCAATTCGCACCTAGTATAAGTTCATTTCATTCCTGTGTTCTGAAAGAAAACACTTTTCTTATAGTTCAAACTGTTTAAAACATTCCAGAATCCCAAGTTATCGAATACTCTATTATGAATATTCTATTAGACTATAGGATGTCACGGAAATGTGAGAATTTAACTGCTTTGGCCCACGACTCAGTTGGCCCTCTTGCATCCTCTTTGCCTTGCCCTGCATTTTAGCACCTCTTCTCCAGCTGGAAGATGACGATACCTGTGCCCTGAAACAAATAATGATTCTACTCACATTCAGGGCTCCACAGCATGGCTGAGGTCCAAAACAATTTTTTTTTCTTCCCTTAAAGGAGGGGAAAGGGCATCCAAAGTGCCACATGTCCTGGCTCCCGGCCAAGCTTCAATGGCAGCTAAGCCCCAAAGCAATTCTGAGCTCACCAGCTCCGCACAGACTGAGCCATCGTGCCCTTTCTGCTGCTCTCACCATCTGTAAAGGTCCGCAGCTGGAAGGCTGCTGGCAGCGGGGGCTGAAATGCAGCAGAGACATGCTGTGGTCCTTCCCAGAGCCGGCTCCCCCTGGATGGACTGAATGACTATGTAGGCCCCGAAGACGAGGACGGCAACGAAATCAGAAAAGGCTGCTGGCTGTAAATTAACTTTCTGATAAGGAGCACAGATTCCAAAAGCTGTCTCATGGCACGGAATCTCTCTGCTGCAGTCAATGAGCTGTCACACGTGAGAACACAGAGAACTGGGAACAAGAGGGACAGCAATACAATTGAACCAAATGTGGAAAACCCCACCAAGGCAATGGCAAGAGAATGCACCACTCAAGGGCCGTATGATTGACTACGGCTCTGAAAGCGAACTTTAATTATTCTTAATTATGAACTGTAGTAAACAAAGATGCAAATGCTATCATTTGAACTGCTGTACACAATACCATCTACTTTCCCAAACCTGAAAATAAAATGGTTTCTTTCTGGCCCAAAGTCACAGACTAAAGGATACCACGATGCAAATCCAGTTAAAAAGGAGCATGAATAAATAGTCTGCAGGCCTCCCATCGAAAGCTCCTAGAAACAAAAATAAGCCAAATGTCACGGTCCAGAATTTCAGAACAAAGTGATTTCTATGTAGAGAAATGCTTCAAAAAATTCTAGAGAAAGCCAAAATGAGAATATTTTTAAACTTCTCCTCACAAGTAAAAAAAAAAGGAAAATTTTTAAAATACCTAAAGCCATGTCTTCCAATAAAGCCCTGAACTACAGTCAACTGAGTGAAGCTAATCTGTGTTCTCCTAACCGAATTCCAGTAAGTACCATCCTCCAACTACCACAAGCTGTAAGACCCGCAGGGAGGGCAGTCGGTTCCACGGCCAGTGAGCTCCCATCCCCTGAAGGCTTCACAACTAGTCGGCCTCTCCTTCCTGGCTCTCCTCGTGGCCCGATGACACATCTGTGATCACTTGTCTCCCTCCTCCCTCTGCGAGACCATAAGCTCTGATACTGGAGGGACCCCATCTGTCTGGCCTGCCACTGTGTCTCCAGCAAGACTATGCTGGGAGAATCTTACTGTTGTTGTTATTAGATGCACACACACACACACACACACACTCTCACTTAGTCTGACACTGGGCTTTCTTGAGAAGATTCAGTCTCCTTCTTCTGGCTTACATTCTAGCAAGGGAAAACAATGCTGGCGGAGGGGAAGAGTGAGGGCACGGCCAAACCTTCCCATAGACTCTGACTCTTCACCTTCAGACCACATCCGGGAGGTAGAAGGGAAAGACCTATGCCCCCTTTTTACCGACGAGGAAATAAAGTTACATGACCTGGATCACATGGCTTGTTAGAAGCAGGGTGAAATGTAATTACTAGTCCAGTGCCCTTGTCACCACACCAAACGCCAGGCTCCGTCTTATTCCTGGACTGAACAATCAACACTGGCCCTGCTCTCCCTTCTAAGGGTGAGCCCTCATGCCTTCAGGTGGGAGACCAGAAGAGAGGCAGAGACCACACACAAATGACTGTAAGGTCATTCTAGCTCAAACAGCTACCTTCCCTCCCCTCCACACCCCCCTCATAATCGCATGATATGTAGTCAGTTAAAAAAAAAAAAAAAATTCTCTGTCTCTCTCTCTCTCTCTCTCTCTGTTTCAAAAATAAATAAAAACATTAAAAAAAAATTTTTTTTAAAGGACGGGGGGGGGGTGCTCCTGGGTGGCTCAGTCGGTTAAGCATCCGACTTCGGCTCAGGTCATGATCTCACGGTCCGTGGGTTCGAGCCCCGCGTCGGGCTCTGTGCTGACAGCTCAGGGCCTGGAGCCTGCCTTAGATTCTGTGTCTCCCTCTCTCTCTGCCCCTCCCCTGCTCGTGCTCTGTCTCTCTCTGTCTCAAAAATAAATAAAAACATTAAAAAAAGTTGTTTTTTTTTTAATCCTAACAAGTCTCCAAAAGACAGGGAAAAAATTCTATCTAAAAGAAAAAAAGTTTCCAGCAAAAGTCTCTCCTTCTTTCCCTAATGTCTCCCCTGGTGTCTCAAAGGCACACTTTAGCCACAGTGTTAAGGAAGCTCAATGATGGGGATCCCTATGGTGAATCAAAGCTAATTTCTGAATTTTAGTAAAATTTGCTTTTTTTTTTTTTAAGTAGGCTCCACGTCCAGTGTGGAGCTTGAACCCGTGATCCCAAGATCAAGAGTCGCATGCTCTACCAACTGAGCCAGCCAGGTGCTCCTGTTGACTTTGTGATTTGGAAGCATTCTTCGGATTGAATACTTAAGCTATTGTAATCACATAAATTACAATACTATATTATTTGGCAAGTGTGCAACTGGGAATTTACAAAGTAAGTGGTCTCAAACTGCAGTCTTCCAGTTCAAATCAGAAACCTTATAAATAAGCCAACACTGCTGTATATTTCATTGACTCAGGTAGGAAAATATGCAGGTGGCAAACACATTGTCAGGCTGTTACCGCGAGGCTGTATGGTGGAGGGAAGACTGGAATCAATGAACCAGGGCTCCAGTCCCACACGTTATCTCAAATAGCTTTGTGACCTTTGGGGCATGTCACCACCTCTCCAGACCATTGTTTTCTCATTGTGCAATCTTATTTTAAATGGGCAGGTCTCAAAAGTTCCTCTCAACATGAGGGTTCAGAACCGCATTATTCATAACAGTGAAAAACGAATACAAGTCAAATGTCCATCAACTGATGAGTGGAAAAACACGGGGCACGTGGGTGGCTCCTTGGGTTAAGCGTCCTACTCTTGGTTTCGGCTCAGGTCATGATCCCAGTTTTGTGGGTTCAAGCCCCACGTCAGACTCTGCACTGACAGCACAGTGATTCTCTCTCTGCTTCTCCCTGACTCACACTATCTCTCAAAACAAATAAACTTAAAAAAAAAAAAAAAAAAAAAAAAAAGGAAAAATAACCACATAAGGGAATCTCATTTGGCAATAAAAAGGAATGAGGTACTAACACATGCTACATGAAGAATCTTGAAAACACTAAGTGAAAGAAGCCAGTTACAAAAGATCACCTATTGAATGATGCTGCCTATAAGAAACGTAGAGAATGGGCAAATCCAAAAAGGCAGAAAGTAGATCAGTGGTTGCCTAAAAGCTTAAGGGGACGACCAGGTTGAATGGAAATGGGGAATGGCCGTTAATGGGCACAGGGTTTCTTCTTGTGGAGACGACATATTCTCAAGTTAATTATAGTGATGATTGCACAAATCTATGAATACCCACTAAATTGTACACTTTAAATGGGTGGAACTGTATAGTATTTGAATTATATATCAATAAAACTTTAAATAGTACCTCTCAGCTCTAGAATTTCAAAATGCTCTGTGACTGGATAGTAAGGAATGGGGGAAGCTTAAAAGAATTAAAGCAAGTAAAAGAGATCAATGGGCTAATAATCCTACAGATTGATCTTCAGTGTTATTCAGGTATTACAAATTAGTTATATTACCTGACTAGATAGGAGGGGTGGGTAAGTGGGTTCCAGGGCCTCAAGTAACGGAGCGAAAACAACTTACAAATAAAATATGGTCATGGCGTTATTGCAATTTAGACTTCAAAATGGCATTAGGATTATTTTTAAGTCCTTGAATTTCAGAGATAAATATTAGAAAATTTACAGATGAAATGATATCACATCTGGTATCATTTGCTTCAAATAATCAGGGGTGGGAGGACAGACATGAATAGAGATCAAATAAGATCAGCTAGGAGATAACAGTTCAAGGCGAGGAGTAGTTACAAAGGGGTTCTTGCAGGCAGGTGGACACATACTACAACACGGGTCAGAGTTGAGAACATTCTAAGTGAAAGAAGCCTGTCACAGAAGGACTCATAAAGTGTCCCAAATAGGCAAATCCGTATGCAGAGAAAGTAGCTCAGTGCTGGCCAGGAGCTTAGAGAAAGGGGGGGATGGGAGATAGAGAGTAACTGCTTTGGGTTTCGGGGGCAATGAAGATGTACTGAATTAGACAGTGGTTGGTAGCGGCTGCGTAACGAGACCAGAGCCCACAGAACTATACACTTTAAAATGGCTAAAACAGGAGCGCCTGGGGGGCTCAGTGGGTTAAGCATCTGGCTTCGGCTCAGGTCATGATCTCACCGTTCGTGAGTTCGAGCCCCCCGTCAGGCTCTGCGCCAACAGCTCAGAGCCTGGAGCCTGCTTCTGATTCTGTGTCTCCCTCTCTCTCTGTCCCTCCCCCACTCGTGCTCTGTCTCTCTCTTAGACAATGAACAAATGCTTAAAAAAATTTTTTTTGTAACGGTTAAAACAGTCACTTTTATGTTCTGTGAATTTCATCTCAACAAAAAGGAAAACAAAGGTTCATTAACCTTTCTCACTACTTTTGTGTACATTTGAAGTTTTTCTGTAACAAAATTTTGAAAAACTAGTCATGGACCATCCACACTTAGAATTTCCTGCTGATATAAAATAATACTACTCCAATAGCTCAATCCTCAATGAAATTACACCAGGGGGTAGAATGCTACAGCATTACTAGCAAGTTCAACTGGGACAGGGGAGAATAAAAATCACATATGCTGGGGGCTTTAGGTCCAAGCCCCCTACTGTGGTCGCGAGACTGTGGGTCAGTTTCACCTCCGCCAAGCCACTTTCCTTCCCTGAATCTCCTCTTTTTCCTCTGTAAAACTAAGGGGATGGGCTAGGTCCCTTCCGGTGGTAAGAGTCGATGACCTGACACTTAATGTAGCGATTTGGTTTTAAAAAGCACCTTGTGCAAATGCCAATTTAAGGAAAACACATTTGACACCAATGCCCATCCTTCTACTTCCCTACAGTCATGAGACTGATTCTCAATTCTCAAACTGACTTAGATTTAAGGGTGGTTCAGAATTCTCTACCCTGAGCTAACAGCCAGCAGGTTTATAAGGTCTCTGGAGTCGGCCAACCTTTTCAAAATCATTTAGGCTTAATAAAACTTTGTTCACATTTTGACCCAGCAGCATCAATTTACTGCTCTCAGGATAAGCAACTCAGAACAGCACACGAGGTATTGTACAAAGGAAACAACAATACCGAGAAACTTTTAAGAAAAGATTTTTGTAAAAAACCAAACAAGCAAAAAACCTTACCCATAACACCATATGGGCAGTCCTATCTAATAAACTACCATATTATTAAATCCCAGTTATATATTTCAAAAGTGAGTAATTCAATCACAGAGAAAAACTTAAGGCTTTCATAGCATGAAGAAGTGTTTTTCAACCCCAGTCTGGGAGATATATACACTTCAGCCCAGTTGACATTTAAGGACAAGGACTGGGGCACCTGGGTCACTCAGTCAGTTAAATGTCCGACTCTTGATCTCAGCTCAGGTCTTGATCTCAGAGTTGTGAGTTCAAGCCCCACAGTGGGCTCCAAACGGAGTGTGAAGTCAACTTAAAAAATAAATAAAATAAAGGACAAATGAGTACCATGTGACAGAAATGGGTGAGAAGTCAAATTTAAGTGAGAGGCACACAAGTCAGCCACTAAGGACAAGGTAGGGACAAGATGTATTAAGCTCTGGTCTTTCATTTTTTTTCACCTATAAAATGGTGACACTGTTACTTATGCTTCATGATGATGTCGTGAGGATTAAAAATCAAATAAACTAAGCGCCTAGTACAGTCCTGGCACAGTTACTACTGAGCATTGATTATCATTATGCCATTTCCTTACAAGCTAACTGCCCTCAGAATTCTTCCAATAAGTAACTGGTAAATTAGAACTGGTGAATTAGAAACAAATCTTAAGACAACTATGGACAACATACCTGTTTCAAGACGTGTAGAATACTGATATAAGAAATATAAATTGACCAAATAAAGAAATCCAGTTCCTGGACCCACAGGGAAATAAAAGGTGGCAGTGATTGGCCTCCAAATCTGTCCAGATCAAAACAGACACAGTGGTTAGTTTCTCCAAGCCTGGTTAATTGTTTTTTTTTTTTCAACTCAACAAAATTCACCCTTGCAAAACATTCTCCTCTGTGATGAAAGCAACCAAAGGGATACCACCAATATAATTCAAGAACACTGAAGAAAAGCTCCCATCAGCTACCATCATACCAATCTGCAAAGCGATGGAATAAAATCATGTAATATAAGCAATAAATATTCCTAACCAAGTTGAAAAAAATCAATACTAACGAAATATATGGTTAGTCTTTACTGGGAGAAGGGCCATAGTTAAGCCTGTCAAAAATGAATTATAAAGACAGGCTCCAACAGCACAGTAATATCTCCTTTTGGGAGAAAGAATATACCGGGGTGACAAACCTTACCAAAAAATGTCATTTTCAAAAGGTAGAAGTAAAATAGAAATGTTTTTATTCAAATCACTGTGCTATTTAGGTAATATGGATATATGACTTTACAACTGTCCCATCCCCTCAACACACACACACACACACACACACACACACACACACACACACACTCTTACCAAAAAGTCTACAATGAGAAGGAAGTCTTCCTCCTGACCTTCATCTCCTGATTCCCTTTCCATCAACAACAATCAGTTTCTTGTATTTCTTTCAATAACATTATGTGTTACTACTGTTCATTCTTTTTCATCTTACCTTGTATTGCATGGTTCTATGCCTTAAGTCCCTTGACAAAATATTTTTATTGGCTGTAAAGTATTCCTTTTATGTGAAGGTCCAAAATTTGTTTAAACCGTTACAAGGCCACGGTTGAATATTCTCGAATATCCTCTTTATACACTTACATATAGGATCAAATCCTGTGAGTTAATCTGCTAAATTAACAGACTTCTGCATTTAATTTTGGTAGACATTGCCAAATGCCTACAAAAATGTTTAACCAACTCCTATACTTACTCCTAAAATGTACATTAATGCCCGTCTTTCTCCACGCCGTCACCATTTAGTGTGTATTTACGAACTGTTTTTAAAACTTTAGCACTTCCTTTCTTCATTTTCCTGCCAGATTTGCATTTCTTTATATATTATGGAAATTCCCCTTTCTCATTGTTGCAAATATTTTCTGGCCATTCATCTATGCTTTTACGGTATGCTTGCCATATTTTGACATGTAAAAGTGTAATTTAAGGTAGGCAAATGTATCCGTCGGGTGTACTTGGATGCTCATGTAGCTCACAAGCTACGTCTCCACTTAAGAGTATCAAAATATTCACAGTCCTACCGTGGCACATTCATGTTCATCTCAGGAGTAAGGAAGATAACCTACTTCTTTTTCTAGGTGCTCACTCAGCTTTCCCAATCCCATTTACAGAGTAACCCATACTTTCTCCATTCATTTGAAACACTACTTTCTTTCTTGTTTTTTTTAAAATATTTTTTAATGTTTATTTTTGACAGAGAGACAGAGTGCGAGCCAGGCAGGGGTAGAGAGAGAGGGAGACACAGAATCCGAAGCAGGCTCCAGGCTCGGAGCTGTCAGCACAGAGCCTGACATGGGGCTCGAAATCGTGAACCACGAGATTATGACCTTAAGCTGAAGTCAGACACAACCAATCGAGCCACCCAGGTGTTCCAAAAAGCTATTTTCATTATCTATTTATTTCCTTTTATATTAAAATCTATTATTATATTAAAATGCTATCCTGTTTGAAACTGAATTCCCCTATCAATATCAAGCTATTTTAATGTCTAGTTTTATAATATGTAACAATATCTGGTAAAGTGATATGATTAAATAATCCCCCTCCTGTTTTTCTTCCACATTTGTCATGATTTTCTTGGCTGGTCTCAACATTTTATTTTCTCAAAAGAACTAGAATCAGCATCTTTATTATATCAATGTGATAACCATTCCCAGCCAGGAAGAAGTCTTTCACAGCTTTTAGAAGTTTTCTATTGAGCTATGCTTTCTAGCTCTAATACCAAACCACCAAAGCCGAATTACCTTACTGTTTGTAGTATTAGCTGGATTACTTTATTGTTTGTAATAGATTTGAAAACTGAGCCTCTTGGGCTTTCAAAGTATACAACTCTATCTGTAAATAAAATTTTGTATCTCATTCCATTGTGGTCTAATTCACTGGCTAGTACCCCCTGAACAACCTTAAATAATAATAGTGGTTGAAGTAGACGACCTTCCCAGTCCTTC